GTAAAGACAGCTTTAGAATAATAAATGACATTTTCCCGTCCGTTTCTGTTCATGAAACACAAACTTGCTCAGACTAACTTCAGAATAAAGGAAAAGACAATGGGCATACTCTGTACGAATGCCCTTTCCAAGTACTACCGAGTAGCCAAGTAGCTCTCACAAATGGAAAGACTAAGAGAAATCGGATCTCTCTCTCTCTTTCTCTCTCTCTCTCTTTCTTTTTCAGTATTTCTCTCTTTCTCTATCTCTTTTTATTTTCTCTCGCACACACCTTTCTTTTCAACGCGTTTACATTTCTACGAATGAAATGGGAGCAAGGTTTACTCATACAAGTTTATGTCACACACACACACACACATATACACATATTTTCCAAAAATAATCTGATCGAACTGTGAAGAAATAAAACACACACAAAGAAAAATATGAATCATTGAATATAATAAAAACACGTTCGCGTTGATAATTAAAACTTAAAATGTTAACATCGTAAAACGATCATAAATTGAATGACGCGTAACCATGTAATTACCCTTGCAACGTTATTCGCAAAATTCTGTCAATTACATTACCCATATATAATTGACAGGGCATCTCTGGTAACTTATCCATCAAGCAAATATATATGATATAGGTCAGACATGTGTAGGTTAACATGTTAGAGATATCAAACGTGTAACATCATTTTATTCCTACAATCTGACAATATCAATGTTTAAGTTAAACTAAAAGAAACTATTTCTACTATTATTGACAAATTTTCATATAAAATAAATGATCATTAGATATATAATACTAGAAGAAGAAGAAAAAAATACAAACAAGAAAGAAAAATGAACTATAATAAAAACATCGCATAAAGATACGAAGAAAAAGAAATATATTAAAATTAAAAATGAGAAAAAAATAAACCATACACACGAATTTATATCAATACGTACTAACATTGAAATAAAACAAACGAAAAAAAAAAACATTATTATCAAATAAACGTAGAGAAACCTCATTCACCCGACAAGAAAACAAAAAAAAAAAAACAAAAAAAAAGTATAAAATAAAAATCAAAATACTTTTGATAGTGTGCATCATTTGCAAGCCATAAACAAAATGACGAATAGAAATATACGAGATCGAGAGAGATAGAAATAGAACTGTTATAGGCTGCTAGGGAATGATTCAATCAATTGAGAAGTCCTATCAATCGAACTCGACGCTCAATTTCTCGTCTACCCTTTAAGGGTTGTAGGAAAGCGTTGACAATCTAAACAGAGAAGACCAGACCAAACCAGACTAGACCAGAATAGAATAGAATAGAACAGACTAGAACTGAACAGTACAGAACAGAACACAATATAGTGGAACCGATCAGATCAGATTAGAACAGACCTGAGCATAGGAGATCAGAACCGATCAGAACCAAAGCATACTAGAACTGAACCTACCAGAGTTGATTCTCTTGACGGTGATGATATAGCTTCGAGAGTGAGTGAGAGAGAATGAGAGAGTGATAGAGTTAATTGGACCGCGGATGTATCTAATCGAACCTAATGCGAGCAGTCGCGTACTCATGTCTCAGAGCTTTACTAACGGCCCATGAATTATCGATAAGCTCGAAAACGACCTGTCTGCCACCTTGCATTCGCTATCAATGAACTTACATTGCCGTCACTATCGACAATACCGTGTGTTGTCTATTACTTCCTCCCCCATCATCTTGTATCTCTCACTCGTTGTTTTTGCAACAAAGTTTCTTCATTTCGTTGGTAAACTTTAATTCATTATTATTATCAATCTGATCGTTTCATTCTTTATGTAACCCTTTGGGTACGGATTTATTTGATAAAATATTAGCATTATTAGTTTTTGGTTGTTTCGAGTAGTATGTAAAAGCAGTACATTTATCTTAAGAATTTATTTATTTCTAAAATATTGCTGACATATTATATGTAATATTAAGATGTCTTCAAGTAATCGCTGCCAAACAAAATGGTGAATGGATAACAAGTGAATGACGTCTCTCAGACGTCAAATCTAACCAAGAGTTTAATTTTTGGTTTGACGTCTTAAACACGTCATCCGTTCCTAGGAAAAATTGTGAATGACGTGTCTCAGACGTCAAATGTACCCAAGGAGCTAATTTTTCTTTCTCGTATACACATTTTGAATTTCTTTTTTATTCTTTTTTCTTATTTTCTAACATCATTCTAATTGTTATCACAAGGAAACATTCGAATTGATATTGGACAACAAATTTTATTTATAATTCTACACAATTTTCTAGAAATCCATCAAGATAATATACTGTCCAAGTAAAAAGATCAAATACCTAAAGGTTTCAAAGAAAATGAAAAAGGGAGATGTTCGGTATGCATTATTAACAAACCTTGATGCAATGATGGGAATAGTATACCATAGTACGTATACCATTCTTCTATCATGTAAGCTAAAGAATGGGAAGAAAATTCTTTCCAGATTTAGAAATCTATCATCTTATCATACTATCCGTGTATATTTTTCTGTAAAAGATTTCTTTTTCAATGTTACGTTAAACCAACTGGTAGTACACAAGGATATGAATATAACATGTGAATCAAATATGAGACACACACACTTCATCCTTTGTTTTGTTTTTTTTTAAGAAATAATTGAAATATTTAATGGTACATATTTTTGGTATGGTTATCTGATTAACATTTACAATTATTAAGTTCAATCTTAGGGATATTCTTTTTTTTCGGACAGGTTTTAATTAGATGAACAATCTATTAATCAGTTGAACGTTTCGTCCCTATATTTGGGACTTCCTCAGCAACTAAAATTTTATTATGACATATTATTACTTATACAAATACAAAAAACTTACAATTAATTGAATAGCGTTATTTTACCTCGATCGTTATTGTTCACGAGTCAATATATCATCATTTCTAATTAAAGTCATAAGTTTATACTATCTTATACAATTATTTCAAATATAATAATAATAATAATAATAATATTTGCAATATTAAATTAACTCATCTTTTTTATTCTATCTATCTATCTCTCTCTCTCTCTCTCTCAATCTTAACATTGTTTCATTTGAACGTTCTCATTATTCCTCCGACCTACTCACCTCTAACGACCACCAAAGACAATGCACACGACATTATACTACCGCAGGAATGTTTCAACAAGGAGATATATTCACGTTAGTGAGATACCGAGCTCGGTAATCCGTTTCTACGTTCTCTCTCTATCTCTCTCTCTCTCTCT